TGTTTATTTTATTTTCACTTACTGAATACGGGACAGACTTGACTGGGGGAAAGAAGGGGAGAAAGAAAGAGGGAAAGAGAAACAGCTGAGAAGAGGGACGGGGGAGAAGGGCAAAAAACAAAAACCAACAGAACGGGCAGAGAAAAAAAATGCATATATCAATCACCTGGATCACCTGCTGAGAAAGAAAAAAGAAAACAAGCAGAAGAGAACAAGAGTAATAGAATAAACAACATCACAATGATATATGGGAATATGACAGTAAATACTAAATATTAAACATTATTGTGCAGCACATAAGATCAACAGAACACAGTGTGCTTTGAGGTAGGAGCCAAAAAGGGTGTAGTTTGTGGGTGTGATCACCCGTGTGTACACCTGTGAGCATGGACGCGCTTTTTTTTTTTAAAAGGTTCCTTCATGTAATGATCTGCTAGAGGGTGTGGGGGGGCCACAGCCCCGTCCTCCAGGGCATGAAGCAGGTATGGAGGAGATCAAAACTCCAGACATCCAGAGGCCCCCAGAACACAAGAGACCAAGGAAGACCAACAGAGGGGCAGCCGCGCCACTGTCCCAGAAAGAGCTGAGGAGAGTCCCAGATGAGGGCTCACTCAGCAGCCGCGGAGCAGAAGCCAGGGGGAGTTGCAGTGACGCGCCCGTGAGCTCCGCCGGCAGCCAGCCGCGCCTGAGTGACCGAGCCCCAGGCCGAGAGGCCGGGGGCACCCCACCTCCGAAGTGGCCCGAGCGAGCCCCAGGCTCCAGGCCCCGATAAGCGGCCGCCAAGGAGTGAGCCGGTGTGTACCTGGACGCCCATCCCCGGACACAAAGAACCACCAACGCACCGATGTCTGAGGGGTCCGCCACTGGCAGGGGAAGTGGTGGAGGGGGAGATAGGCCTCCAACCTTGGAGGGCCTGAGATGTCCCCAGAGAGGTGGCGTCTGATACCCAACCTGACATATAGACACAGACATACAGGCACACACAGACACAAACATCCATTCCCACCCTCATGCTCTCATATGCACTTACTCCACACAACCAACGTGGAGACAGACTAAAGAGACGACTGTACACACATCACACTCCCCAAGCGTACTCTAAGCCCCGTCTAGGTACCCTTGCCCCTGGAGGGGGGAACTGCACCCAGACCCAGGTGGTGTTACCCTTTTCCCTGCGGTGGGGAGAGCAGACCGCCCCGACTCCGCAGCAGCAGGGAGGCCCCACACTCCAGACCGCAGTCGGACGGCCAACTCCTCCTCCTAGCCCCCCCGCTCCAGCAGGTCGCAGAGAATGGGGGTGAGAGAAGACTCCAAACCTCCCTCCACCCGCTCATTGTAGTGTTGATGCATGTGTGTTCTAAGGTGCATTTAAAACCCAGGAGGGCATGGAGCTACCTGCCAGAGAGCAGCAGGTAAGCGCATGGTCCCTCCTGCTAGCCTCAAGTCTCGAATTGTCAGACATGTCTTAGAAGGGTGATGTGTACACAGCCTGTGTGTACAAGGCTGGCACGCACGCGCAGTGTGCGTGCGTGCTACACAGACCTGCATGGTACGTATGTAATTGGAGTTGCAGCGTGTAATCGTGCACCAGCCATATGTATGTGTATGAAGAAATGTGAATGTCAAGTTTGGATAAAATTGAGGCAGAGGCAGCCAGAAGGGGACGGGGGGGGGGCCTCCTCTGCACCCTGGTGACATACCCCTACTCCAAGGTCCTGCATGTGTGGGTGGTTGTGGTGGAGCGGGAAGAGGGAGGCAGCTGGAGATGGGGAGGGAAGGAAGGGAGGGGCAAGTGACCCCTCCCTGGGGCCAGCTCCCCCGCTGACCCCAGTAGGCACCCCCATACTCCGCGACCCGCCAGGGAAAGGGGGCCCAGGCCCATCCAGACCGGGGCCCAGCGCAGCAGCGCCTCCCGGCCCCACAGAGCCCGGACAGTCCACCCAACCCCACCACAGAGAAAACTGCACCCACCCCACCATCCACTCTTCTTCCAGACTACATAAGACAATAAACACCCAGGCTGAGATCTTCCTCCACCTCTCCTGTATCTCCCCCTCCTGCGAGAGAGCCTGAGGAGAGGAAAGCTCCTGCAAGATGTGACAATCTCCCCACCAGTTGAAGAGCCCCCCAGGTGGCTCGAGCACCGGCGGCACCCTGCTCCAGGGCTGGGCCCCCATGCACCCACCCGCCCACAACCCCGGCAACACACCAACCAGGACCCAAGCCCCCGAGGCCCGGCCCGGGCCCCAGCCCAGAGACGGAGCGCCCCCAGAACCTCACGCCCATCCCGGACCCACCCAGGGGCAGCCAGGCTACCAGGTCAGTAACCCACGTCCGTCAGCACAGACCCTCCCCTAGCCCCGCTGCACGCAGCCGCGAGGAAACAGTCACCTGAGAGCAACAGAGCCCCTAACCGGACATGACCGCTACCCCGGGTTGAGCCCCCCAAGGAAGATGCCTCCGGGGAACCCCCCGACGCCCTAAGCCTGTCCCTACCCCCACACCAATCACAACAGTGAAGGCGGGACCAAACTATGACCCCCCACCCCCACTAGGTGATGGAGCTGATCAAAGGAGCCCAGAGCTTCTATAGGAAGTGATATTGATTCATCTGTTTTAGAAAGCATTCTGTATATTTTGGATAGTAATTTGGGGGTTTTAAGAGTAAGAAATTGAGCCACGCTTGGTGGTGTTTGTAGTTCAACTTGACCCGGTTTAAATTTCTTTTTTACTATGGATTTAATTTAAGATCTTTGCTTCCTGCTAAATCAAAGTTAAAATCCTGCCCATTGTATAATCAGGACCCATCTCCTCTTTACCACCTCATAGTACCGCATCATCCTAATAAAGAGCTAGTTGTTGTTCCTATAGGATTTAAAAGTAGACTGGGAGGCAGAGCCTTCAGTTTTCAGGCCCCTCTTCTGTGGAACCAGCTCCCAGTTTAGATTCAGGAGACAGACACTATCTCTACTTTCAAGATTAGGCTTCAAACTTTCCTTTTTGCTAAAGCATGTATTCAGGCGACCCTGAATCCTCCCTTATTAATGCTACAATAGGTGTAGGCTGCTGGGGGATTCCCATGATGCACTGAGTGTTTCTCTTCAGTCACTTTCCCCCTCATTATGTGTCTTTACACCTCTCTGCATTTAATCATTAGTTATCATTAATCTCTGGCTCTCTTCCACAGCATGTCTTTGTCATGCTTTCCTCCTCTCACCCCAATCAGTCGTGGCAGACGGCCGCCCCTCATCGTTTTCTCTGTATCATTGTAGGATCTTTACTTCACGATACAAAGCGCCTTGAGGCAACTGTTGTGATTTGGTGCTACAGAATTAAAACTTAATTGAATTAAAACTTGCAACTAGTGAGTGATTCCAAGCGATTTCCATCTTTTATAAATGTTGTCACTGTTGTCTGATTTTCAGAGTTTTCTCTCTATTACTGGCCGATCTGTAGCTCACGATAAACAGCGCCTTGAGGCGACTGTTATTGTGATTTAAAGCTGTATAAATAAAACTGAATTGAAATCAAATTGAACTGCTTCTGAGACATATTATGGTATTACTGAAGAAAGCATCCCAATCCCTTATTAAATCAACTCTGAGTATCTGGTTTACACATAAGTAATTCTTCCATTTGAATCATAAATAAAATCTCCTCAGTGTGCAAAGGTGGGAGGAGAGGTAGACGTCCAAGTTGAGTTTGTATTAAGGTCTGATTGGGTTCACCTGCCCCTTATTTTGCTTCTCTGCTTAGTGTGTATTTAGTATGCGTCTTCCCTGTTGTTGGATTTTCTTTTCTTTTTCAGTAACTTCCTGTTTATGGTCTAACCTGCAACACTTTTTATGACTTTTTAAAAAATAATTCCTTATTTTCAGTCCCTTTCCTTTTGCTGTCTTGTCCTACTAAGAACTTATAAAACCAACTAAATAAAAACTATTTTTCCATTTTCTAAGTTCACATTAAATATAAAACAGTGGAGGACACTGTTAAACTTGTAGGATCCAGGCTCACAACACAATGAGCTTCAAAGAGATTTGGAATTGCTTGTTAATATTCAGGATAGAGACATGAGTACACAGGTCAAAGCAGCAGGAACAGAGGCCAACTGGAACTTCATGAATATTAATTAAAGGACAATAAGACTCATAAATATTAATCTGCATGTCTGCATAACATGAAAATGGACAAACACAGTATTTTGGCAGTGTTAGCACCTGAACTGTGACCTGTAACTACAGTACGGTACGTGGGGAGATTTCATGATTATCAGTGTTTGTATGAAACATTTGATTGTAAAGTCATGTTAGTGAGTGTTTACACCATCACACGCTGGCTTTTCTAGAAAAGTACATTAGCAGTAGTAATAAATATTACAGGGAATTTATCTATTGTATTTCATGGCACTAAAATAAATTTTAAAAATCTGGCTTCTGGACCCTCAGCCACAAAATATTTGCAATTACAGTGACGCAATTATGATGATAGGAAGCTTTAAAAACAAAGTGTTTCAGCTTCATTTAGATTCACGTCTCAGCACTTTTCCTTTTGCAAAACAAATAAGTGTAAAAATGAATTTGTATGGGACCACTTTCAGAGGGAGATTACTTCAGCTAATCCAGTCTCATCCTGTAAACAAAGATGTGTGTTAATGTCTCGCTGGGCTACAGCAGAGGTGAAGCAACAGTGCTGGAAAGTGCAGCTAAGCCTGGCAGGTGTTTGAAACCTTTTTCCTTTGAATTTGTTGCAGTTTAAAGTTAAAAGCACCGACAGACACAGAGCTGCTCACCAGCGGAGCGGTGGGGTATCATTTGCATATAGCAGTAAAATTAAAAAGCTATTATCTTAACTAAGTGGTTAATTTCATTAACCAGTCATCGGTACAGATGTTCGACTAAAGCATCCAAATCAGTTCCAATACAAAGATCAGCATGAACGTTCCCTCAGTTGTTGTAATACAGTTTATCCAGAAATTCATGAAAAAGAGGATTTATGACATTTAGCAGTTAGAAGTCAGCAGAAAGTCACGGTAGGTCACTAATTAACATCTGAAAATGATACCGCATGCTCTGAATTCATTCTAAAAAGAAACTCAAAGGTAAAGCACGACGATGGACGTAATCAACGATGTAAAAATAAACACCAGCGCTGTGTGGAGGATTGGTGACAAGGAAATAGACTGATCTTCATTTAGCAATTTTCTATTCTTCATGACTAAAGGAGCTTGGAAAGAAAAGCACCTGGACTTCTTTAGAAGCTTCTTCACTTCTAAGAGCAACTGGTGGAGAATCCCAGGTTTTTATGCCCTATTGAAAGTGTCCCTTAGAGGGTCGTGGACCGACTATGGATCCTCTGCCTAATCACACGATTAGTTTATCACAGATTAACCTACCACACATCTCTTTGGACTGTGCGAGGTAATCGCAGAAAACATGCAAACTCCACACAAGAGCTCGGGAGAGCAGATTCAAACAAATAGCTTTTGTGCTGCGAGACAATGGTGCCAACAGTTCCTCAGTGCAAGTTGGAACATAGCATGTTTGACATATAATAATTTTCTATGTGGCATAAAGCTACAGAGATATGGTCGGGCTAATATAAACAGATTATCAGAGGGAAGATGTAGGATGAGGGTTAAACTTATCAATAACAGGTTAATGTTCCTGGTGGGCAGCAACAAACGGCAGGAAGACGAAATAAACATCAAACTTCAGCTGAGAGAATGTCTGACAACAGTTATTAATATGCTCATCCATGGTTTGGATGACTTTCTATGAATGAGTCTTGATGCTAAGCTTAATGTCCACACTAAAATCTTAGCCAGCCCAAGAGTGATTCCAGACTGGTGTGCACTGTGTGATTAAAATACCTTAAAGGTGCACTGCACATGAATAGTGCTACTAGAAAGATGGACAGAAAGACAGCTGGAAACTTCTGGGGGTCTCATTTCATGTTGATAAAATATAAACAGCGCACTAAAGAAATGAGAGCCTCATCCAACGCAGGACATGACTGCAAACGAGGTCAAAACATCATCACTTAACAAGCAAACAGGATCGAGGGATCAAAGACTGAAACACAGAGACGTAACACAAAAGGTGAAAGGTCGAGGAGTTAAACACTCCAGGGGTTAGGGAAGGGCTTCCTGATCAGTAATGGCAGATGTAGTTTATGTCCTCTAGTCTCGTTAACTGAGAGGATTTTAAAGCGTCGAACATTCAAAGAACAAACAAAACATCCCAGATTTGGTCATGACAGCATTTACTTTTTAGCTCAGTGAGTGTCTCTCCCAGCATCCTCAGCTCTTTGCTCTTCTGCTCCACGTCCTGCTCCGTCACGAGCCCGTGATTCACGGACGAGTTCCTCTGGAGCTCCTCCACAGACTTCTCCAGGTCGCTGTGAAGGACAGAAATTTGTAAATGTCTTTTATTTTGAAAATGTAACTGTTCACACCTGAATTCACAGTGGATGCCCTGCAAATTTTAAAACTGAGTGTAAGACTTTATTCATGTACTACTACTCATCTACTACTGGCTTCCAAAACATTTACAAAATAGTCCCAAAATTGTGCTTGTTGTCAGCACCATCGTTTAGCAGATGAATGCAAAAAGTTTTTTTTTTGGTTTGATTTTGATGTGAAGCTTAAACCAGGAAATAATGAAACTTCAGCTAAACATACCAGGAAACACTGTCTACACTTTGCGTAAACAACTGGAAACATCATGAATCGTTCACCTCACCAAACCAACCGAGACCACCTGACTGTTTGCTGTGCTTCTTACTTAAGATCAAACTCACTGCAGCTGTTGGATGAGCAGCTCCTCCTGGTTTAGGTACTTGAGCCTCTCCTCCTCCACTAGGAGGCGCTGTCTCTGAAGCGGGTCCTCCTGGGTGCGCATGGCATCCAGCATCATGAGGCTCAGTTCAGACTCCGTCTGTCTCAGCAGGGCGAGCACCGAGTCCTGGTTCTCCAGCTGGGAAACAGAGTCACAGCTTAAAACTTGAACTGGTTTCCATTCACACTATTGCATGAGTGCACGTACCCAAATATTCAAACTGCATTTGTGAGTTTATGAGGTAAATGTACTGAAGTTAAAACTTACTCTCCTGAGGGAACAAACAACATCTGGTGTGTTGGTCTGTTTGCAAAAAGAGCTCCTACTCTGTTAGAGGAAAACTCCCCAATAATCCTTTATCTTAATCGAGGGACTCTAACAGCACTGCAAGCTGCACATATTACATATCCCCCTTTGAGGCTCCCGCACATAGATAAAACCCTCTTAACTCAATGGTTACACGGCTCTTTTAAATAAAGTGCAATAATATGAAACATGGATCAAAAAGCCAAACTAGTTCTTAAAGGATTCTATAAGTTCTACATTTTAAACAATATATAATAATAAATGATGAAAATAAATGTATATTATTCTCCTAATCTTTGTGAACTCGTTTCACTTTAGTTCTTTTCTAAAAAATCTGCTTTTCCTCTGCTGCTGGCGCAGAGCCGAGGAGACCCACCAACAGTGAAACAGAGAGCAAAGGAGGGAAGCAGGTGATCAACGCTATTCAATGTATTGTACAGTGGGGCATTAATATTAATATTTGGTCCAAGCTTGCACAACCTTGCTGACAAAAAATATGACATCACGGGAGGGGAAAAGTGTGGGTGACACGCTAGTTTGCATATTTGAAAATAGTTTTCAGTCAAAATTGTCTGTTTACAAACCTGCATGTTGCGTAGCTGTGACAGCTGTTTGCGCAGGGCGTTGGTGTTCTGCTGCAGGCTTTGTAGGTGGAGCTGCATCTGCAGGCGGGACACCGTCACAGGCTGGTTGGGCCCCGAGGGTGGAGGAGGCATCAGGGCCAGAGGAGCAGATGGTGTCAAAGCTGCCCGGCAGAAAGTGATATTCATTTCAGGGAACTCATTCATTCCTTGTATTGGGATCCTTTAGAGCACATTTAGAGCTGATAGAAAATTGTCCCAGAGCACTGTTACCAAATCAGAGGCTTCAAATGAAATCTGCATTTTGAGAAACATCTGCTGGTTGACTGCATGAATACAGAATATACTGGATGTTTGCACATTTGAAAACAGAAATCCAGGACAAGTTCTATCTGTGCTGCAGGTCAGAGGTGGATATTACAGTCTTATGTAGACTCAACAGTGATAAACAGCATGGGGAGGCTTCGGGGACAAACAGGATCGGGAGTGAAAAACAGCAGTTCCACTTAATCCGAGAGTCTCGTTATAGAGGCGTCTCCCAGACAGCCACAAAGTGTGAGTGTTTCTAAATGAGAAAATCCTCTTGAATGGCGATGAGTGCTACGTTCTGACACACGCATCATGCAGAACAAGACAAAGGAAAGTAACTGGAAGACAGTCAGTTAGTAACAGAGGAGGGGGTGTAAGAGTTGCATTTCAAGGCTTCTTTTAAAACTAATTACAGCTGTCCACACCAAGGAGGAAGACTGTAACACCCCAATGCTGACACCTGTATAGGTGAGGAAATGGTTCTGTGTATAACTGATTATGGGCACAGTTGCTGCAGCTCTCCCGGTCAACCAGAATTCAGCACAGCCTTCATCTTTCTGTAAGCTTTTAACTGCCAGCACAGAGTCCACAGATAAGAGCTCAAGCAAATCGAACCATTACTGACTAACTTTTATCATTCAGTGAGACACGCAGATAAAAATCTGACAGGAGAAAAAAGGAGCAGCTGGAGTGAATGGGAGAAGTTAAAATATAAAAATCACAACTAAAACGACTCTTCAGAAGAGTCTAATTCAAGTCGCAAGGGACTCAGAACATCCAGACTTATCTGTAATTTGCGATGAAATAAGATATGAATTGAAATTGCAAAATATCATCTTTTTGGATCCTTAATAGGAAAAAAGGAGGCTAAAACTGAACACTTTATGTGAAGAAATCAATGTTTCTAAAGATGTTTCCGCGTTTCCCACAAGCAGCTAATTTTCTGACGCACAAACGTTCAAACATCAAACTCTTTTGATCGCCTGCAAATTCATCCTTAGTTGAAAAGCTGAAGGGAAACTTTGACAAAGCAAAGAGTTTGTCATGTCCAATTTAATGCAACTCAGCGATTTCTCACTCAAAAACACAGGAAAGTATGGAGGACCAAAACTGCCAAAATTACAATGCAATAAAGAAAAAAAATGGCTCAAGTTTAAAAATGTGCATAATGTAAGGAATAATCCACTAAAGAAATTTTTTTTATTGTAGTTGATATGTTATACTCACACACACATATTGTTTTTCCTATTTGATTCTGTTTTTTAAATATACATTTTATTTTTTTATAGACAGTTTTACAAATCATTTAATTATAATTTTCCAGATGTATTCCCTGACTTCTTTCTTCATCTCTATTTCCATGCAACATTTGAGTACAGCTGTCATTTGAAAAAGTGTCATGAGGTTGAATTTGGATCCATCTGTTGTCTGATGGTAGAATGGATGACAGGAATTAAAATATTCTCTGAGCCAATCATCATATCATCAGATAATTCAAAAGTCTGCCAGTGACAACTTAGTGAGCAAGCGAGCTAAGGTTAGTCAGCTACTGCAACGAGTAATATGTCTGGATTATCATATAAATAGTATTTTAGGCGTGAGTGTAAAATTATGATTGACAACAGAAACGTATTCGATTGATGGAGTGCAGCCCAAAGTCTTCTAAGAAAACCCTCCTTATGCCATTACGGCACCGCGAAGTGGCTCCCATGACGGTGCATTCAGAGACGCTGCACTTCATGTCTTACTTATAGTGTGTTAAAGTGTCTTATTAACCTGAAGAAGTCTGGCTATTCTCGTATGACCACTACCATCAACAAAGCATTTTCTGAGAGAAGACACCTTATTCTGCCAGCTCAATAGATATTCTTTCTTCAGACATGCTTGGCATGGGCAGTCCGAGTTAAATTCATCAGTGAACTGATAGTCAGGTATAAAAGTCTCCTGAGGTTATGAAGAGCAAATAAAAAGGTGAACTAGCGAAAAAACATGTTATGCAAATGCAAATAAAACAGAAATATCACATATTTTAAATGTGTTTCTGTGTATTTAATGACATTTTTTATTAAGCCAGTTTTATTTATTTGTTTATTTAATCATTTCTAATTTTGGCAGTTTAGGCCCTCCATAGGAGGGGAAAGTGAAGGACACAAGGTGTCAGAGAGGCAGATCCTTCAAAATGACATGTATACATGTACTAGGAACTCATGGGAATCCAGATAAAAACAGGAAAGGGGTGAGACGGGGAGTACCAGACACTTCAGGAACACATACAGTAGCTACCTTTCTTTTTTATAGTTCGTCCAGCTAAAACAAGAAGCATGGGCACCAGTTACAGAGCAGCAAAAGCCAGCGTGTACAGTACAGTACAGTATGAGGAAGCTTGCAGAATCAGCCATTACAATCACATATGAGGCTCCTTAAGAATTATGCAGAGAAAATGAAATAGCAGCAGCTCTGTGTGAGGAAAAAGAGCTAATTTATGTGGCTATCAAACAGGCAGCAGTGTGAAGCAGTGACAGGCAGTGATAGGAAATACTTTGTCTCCTTTTCTTTCTTTTTTTTTGGTAGTGAGCACTTACTGTCAGTTCCTGAGCAGTCACTGGCTGACTCAATCTTCTCCCTGGAAGAGGCAAGTGTTAAAGTACTTACAGCCAGAACACACTATCGACTGAGCTACTGAGAAGCTATTGATATATGGTGGAAAATGTGTGAATGTAGTGTGCGTGCTGCTGTAGTCGGGATTTTTTCCCTCGCTCCTTCACTATTCCCTACATGATCTACCGTAGTGGGAAGATCGCTGTTTAACATAAATTTACATTTTTTCTTCCTCAGCTGAAGCAAAACACATATGAATTTTAAAGCTTTTTCCACATCATAACAACCAGAAAAAAGGCGGAAAACCAACAGAGATGATAAGGCCTGCAGTTATTTATTAAATATATGCATTTATTAAAAGGTTTCCCTGGTTTTTGGATGTTAAAATGAACACCCACAAGAGTGACTCAAAAGAAATGTGGGAGGTTCAGGACACAGGAATCCTGGCTGCTACAAACTAAAAGCATCAGTAGGGCTTCTCGCCTTTAAGGTTCCAGCCAGCAGCTTCATTTTCTATAATATGACATTGCAATAAAGTGCACAACACAGAATCAAAAACAGTTTCTCTTCAGTTTCATAAACAGTACTTGGATTGTAACCTGCCCTTCTTCTATTTTCCCACAGTGTTTAAATTTGTCTTATGTTTTAATGATGTTGGGGTACAGCAAATCTGAGGCTTCCCGGGGCTTCCAAATGCTATCCTGCTGAGTCTCTAATGCCTCCCAGAAACACACACACACACCAAGAAACACATAACCAAAAAACAGCATCTGTCAGCATGTCTCTGGCTCCAGTAATACCAAATATATCCATCCATCCAATCTCATCTGTTAATACAAAATCCCTGAAAGACAAATTAAAGGACTTAATTAGGGATGCTCGGCTCCAACATTTGGATCGAATATCAACACGATCCTACTCAGAGAGCTCGAGTGGGTATCGGTGGCCCCGGGGTGAACTGAATTAACTTCATCAGCACATCAGCAGTGCGCTGGCTGCTACAGCAGGGAGGAAGCTCACGGCAAAAGGTCAGCAGTTTGGAGGTGTTTAATGTTGGTGACAAACAGCTTTTCTCTGGATCTTTGCAAAAGTTTTTGACTTCACCACAAACTCTGGTCAAACAACTCGACATAACCAAAACATGCAATGATAAGTCTTTCCCTGTTTCTCTCGCAGCTTGGCCTGGTACTTAGAAAGTGCTGCACTTTTGCATGCACACACAGCACTTTGCCTTAAATTGTTGTTATCAGTCATGGGCACACTGACTGATGCATGACTGGAGTTTAGGAAGTATTGAGCTCTCTAGTGGGCTTTTTTTAATCCTGAATGTTTAACACAAGACCCCTGAAGAATGGAGGGGAAGTGTACTGGTACTGGAACTGACTTTCAGGAGCGGCAGAGAAGTATGTCAGGCTGGTGTAGGAAATGTATGAGGACAGCAACACAAAGGTGAGGAGTGTAGTTGAAGCGACACGGATTCAAAGTGGGGATGGGATTACATCAGGGATCAGCTGTTTGCTGTGGTGATGGACAGGCTGATCAATGAGGTCATGCAGGAGTCTCTGTGTACTATGATGTTTGCAGACATTTTTATCAGGTGGAAGAAAGCTTGGAGAGGTGGAGGTATGCTCTGGAGAGAAGAAGAATGAACGTCAGTAGAAGTAGAATAAAATCATGCGTGTGACTGAGAGCGAGACAGGTGTAACAATGAAACTATAAATATCAGAGGTTGTGAAGGTAGATGAGTTTAAAAAGCTGGGGTCAAACATCCAAAGCAAGTGCAAAAGAGAGGTGAAGAAGAGAGTGCAGGCGGGGAGGAGTGGGTGGAGGTGATTGTCAAGGGTGAGCTCAGGTTGAGCAGTTTGGAGACAAAATTAGAGAGCAATGGCTGAGATGGTTTGGACATGTGCAGAGGAGGGATAGTGAATATATTGGACAAAGAACGCTGAAGATGGAGCTGCCAGGCAGGAGGAGAAGAGGCCTGAAAGGAGGTTCATGGGTGTGATGAAGAAGGACATGCAGAGGTTTGGTGTAGCAGAGGAGGATGATAGAGATCTGCTGTGGTGAGCCCTAAAGGGAGTACCCGAATGAAGAATTCAAAGTTTTCCCCAGGACACTTCAACATGCTGATAGGAAGAGCCAAGACTCAAACCCCTGACCCTCTGATGAAGAAGCATCCTGACATTCCCTCTCAGCCACAGCCTGCCGTGTAAAGCCTGTTAAAAAAGCCTTTATCACACTAACAATATGTTTCTGTTCACTTGATTAATATCTTACGAACTTCGATCACATAAAACTTTAAGCCTGAATGCTAAAGCTGCACGCTGCAAATCTCCCAGCAGTCTACAAATGTTGTAAATGTGATATTTTCTAACACATTATCAACTGAACTGAATTCTTATCAGACTTTTTATGGATGTGGGTAGGTCGTACTTCATGTACTTTTCTGTATTTCCAAGTTTTCAGGGCAGTGTGTAAGGAATGGATCTGTAAATGGGCTTTGGATTAGTTCAAAAGAAGTGTAAGAACAAATCGTACACTAGGTAACAACTACAAAATGGATTTGTTCGCTTCAGACAAACGTGTGTCTGTGTTTGTGTGTATATATGAAGTGTTTTCACAGGATTTCTATGCGTGTTTGTTGCGTGTGTGTGTGTGTGTGTGTCTTACGGGCTTTCTGCCTCAGGCGCTTTGCTCAGTACTCTCTGCAGCAGCCCGGTCAGGCTGGCTATCTGCTTCTCCATCGCCTCCATACGCTCCCTGGATTCAAAGATGCACAGAAATGGTGGCTAACAGATGTTTCACACACATTTTACATGAAACATAACTTAAAAGGTTTCTCAGTTTTTAGTCCTCATTTAAAATGTAAAGTCAAGTGTAATTACTTTTGAGTTTTTTGTGTTATGAAATCAATGAAATTACCTCCTCACATAAAAATAAATCTACTTTTGCTTAAACAGCAGCTATCAGGACTGAAAAAGCAAATAAGTGTCGCATGCCAATGGCACATGAAGCTGGCTCCAAAGTGAATCATTTGCCACAGACTCTCGTGCTAAATGCTACAAAAATGGTTCTGGTCTCTAAGCATAGTTTGCTACATTATAACAACTGCAATATGGATGCATTGTTTTAGCATGCCCTTTTGTATTTTAAGACTTGAAATTAGAGGCGTGGCCACTTTGAGCAACACTTGTGTCGTCACTGGGAGCTCTACACTAAACCAGAACATTTAAGAAGTGTGTGCTTTCATTTTGTGAAGTAAATCCAATTCTAGTACTTCATTAGTTTATAAACTATCACTAAATGGCAGATATAGGTCTCTCTGCATTGCACTCGTACAGTTAAAGATGCAGCTTGCTAGCCAAGCTAGCTGATGTTAGCAAATAAAATTATATCACCATCAAACTCTCATCACTTCAAAACAAACAAACAAACATGGCAGTGGGCAATATGCCACAGTTGAGGCTTTAGAACAAAACTAAATATCTGCATCCATTTTTTTTAAAAACACATTGCCACCACTACATAACTATGATAGTAGCATAATTTTTTTAATCATATTTTTAATATTGATCAGTTCTGCTAAACTGTACAAATTTTATAGTACTTAAGATTGGTCATAACTGTTGTATACGATTTGTCTTCATATATATCTAATTTCTTGCTTGTGCGCTTGCTTAAAACTGTACATAAGCAGATATCCCTGAAGTCCTCATCTTTGCCTGTGATTCACCTGCCATCTCACGTGTTTCTCTATGTAAGCTTCTCAGGATCACTAATCTCTACCATAAGAATAAAGCAGCTGGGGAGTGATTCATAAATTTGCACATCTACCAGTGATAAACAGTACTGACAATCTCATATTAGAAGAGATGCAAGATCACCAAGCTCTGAGCACAAACTGGTTGTTGGTAAGGTGCGAGTAATTTTTAGTTTTAATGGCAAAATTATCAAAATCACTCATGAAGTCTGTTAACATTACCATAGGAAAACAAAGTAGACATCCTCCACACATACACATATGAATTGCCAGCAATTAATAAAAAATGATAAGTACCTGGTTTCTGTCTCATTCCCCAGCAGAGGTGAGCCGAAGCTTCCAGGTCCACCTCCATCCCCTCCGGCACCAGCCAACAGGCACAGCTGCTCTGAGGTGAGACCCAGTCCTGGTCCCTGACCCCGGGCTTTGGGACTTTCCCCAAACACCGAAGAGGTCACAGAGTCTCTTCGCAAACTCTGTCTCCCTGGAGAACCCCGATTGGGCATGGTTGCTCCATAGGAATCTCTCATGTCAGGTATCTTCTGCGGGGAGGAGGGTGGAGGCACCCGCAACCCCATGGCCAACAGAGACGCAGCATAGGCATCGTTATAAAGAGGTCCTCCAGGCCTGTAGAGAGCGCTGTTTTCCATCAGTTCTCCTTGTAGTGCAGCTGCTGAATAGGAGGTGAGTGAACGCACTGATGCAGCACCTCCACCACCCCCACCTCCACCACGGCGGTATAAGGAGCCGTATGGGTCGGCTCTTGCTGGCAAAGGAGAGTGAGGACCCCCTGCGAGGCTAAGCCGACTTGGATCTGGACCCAGAGTGTAGGGGTCTGCGTAAATCCCGCCCCCACCACGATCATCCCCCCTCAGCAGCACCATGCTTCTGGATCCCCCCATTTCATCGTCGGGCTTCACGTCCCTGCGCTCAAGTATGGCACTGGAGGAGGCGCAGAAGGCCGGCTGGGGGTGGTGGGGCTGGTGGGGCTGGTGGAGCTGGGGCTGCTGGTGGGGAGAGGAGTGGTGGGACTGGGAGTGAGGGTGAGGCAGGGAGTGGGTGTGGTGGTGTGGCCCGGCATAGGACGAAGGCCTTCCGCCACTGTAAAGTAGACGAGCACGGGAAGGTGAGCCTTGGGGAGGGGAAGCAGAGGAAGATGAATGCTGGGAAGACATCGGTGGATTGCTCAGGCGGCGGTTGGGTGGAGAGTCCTGGGGTGCATACACCATCTCCCTCTACAAACAAAGAACATAACTGTTATTCCTGGATACATGGCACATGTCCATCGAGTACAGATCAGTACAGGGTGCTGAAAAGTTTGCCCACAAGTCAAAAGTATAATTTGGGAAGAACATTGTGGGCTTTGTTGAGCATCTATTCTTTACACTCTCATGAAAATTCAAAGGCGTGTGGGAGTTTTTGCCAACAAGTCCACAAGTGGTTGTTAAACTTGCAGAAGGCTTTTGACTGTGTGGAACCTTGGGGAATCCTTTTGGGGGTGCTTTAGGACCACTGCAAGTAAATTTACTAGTCGACTCACTCTCACCTATTGCCATGAATTGAAAGTAGTCTCTAAAAGACTAAGATTAATGATATAAGTGGTGGAAATGACCTTCCTCCAAACGAGATCTAGAATTACAGAGACAGGGTGAGGAGGTCAGCAACTCGAGAGGGGTTTAGAGTAGACCTGCTGCTTTTTTTGCATCAAAAGGAGTCATTTGAGGTTATTCACATATCTGACTAGAAGGCCTCCTTGAGGCATATCTAACTAAAAGGAGACCCCAGGGCAGACCCAGGATATACTAGAGACAATTATGTCAGTTGGTTTGCCTGAGAATGATTCAGCATCCCCCCAGATGAGCTGGAGGCAAGAAGGTCGGTCTGGGCATCTTTATTTAGACCGCTGCCTCAGTGAATCAGACCTGGATAACATTACAGTGGCAAAAATAAAGGTCAACTCTTTTGGCCTGTGTAAATCATAGCGACTCCACTGTTTTTGTTCACAGTAAATTTTGCTAAACAAGTCAGCAACTGTGCTTTTAGATCATTAGCAAAATCACTGACTACTAAGATGTGTCCATAATATAGGCAATGTACATTAAGTGTTTGGATAGGGCTAAGAGGGATTTGTCACGCAGCTGAACCAAATGATCTATATTCATTTTTGTTCAAGCCACATGGGAGGCTCGCCAATGTTGACTCACCAACTAAAGAAAATGGTTTATTGATAAATGACATTATGAGATTGAAGCCATTTATCCATTCTTACCCAGTGAAAGGGAAGAGATACCACGTCACATGTTGGGAGTCTGCATGAGTGAGGTGGTGCATAGAGAGAACTCAGAGACGTGGTGTTACTGAACATGAACAGGCAAAATAGTCACAAACTCTTTGGTGGAAGTTGCTGCAATCTTACAGGTTGTTGGACAGATTGTGAGTCTGTTAACAGACTGAATCAGTGCTTTACTGATTTTATGTCCTTTCCCCATCTTATCTCTAGTCCACACTTCCAATCCCACAACAGCTGTCATGGGCCTGGAAGTGAGGTTTAAATAGAAAGTGAAACTGAGGATGGTGTCCGTCATCTAGCTGAATATCATTATAGTTACAGTATTAATAATTCGATGGAGCTCTGAGGTCTGAAACGACTTGTTCAAATCCAATAACGAGATTCTTTAGAAATATCATTAAAGTAACAGTTTAAAATTTAAAGTTATACTAAAAGTGCGATTTGTGGAGGAAAAAGGAATTTGATGTTGAGCCGGGGAGATTAAAAATTTTCACATTCATGAATAATGAAACGCAGCAACCATAATGGACCTACAGGCCATGAAGAGTGCTATTATATTTATTATTTATTGCTTCTGTTAGGGTAACTTCATATAATAATCATGAATTCAAACTAAACAAGTTTAGAACCTAAACTTGACTCCTGACTCTCTAATGAGATTAATCAGTTCATTCACAAAATATTCTTAATCTCGTGTTTTGCGCTTGTACACAGTGGATTCAATCAAAGACAACACAGAAGATTAAATGTTATTTAGCTGCTGCAGGCCAATCAAATCATGTTATAAAAGCATCCAGAGAAAGCGAGCTAGTTGTTGTGGAGTTCAGCATTAAAATGAAGAAGACTTGATGATTATAGCACGTCATCACACTGTTATTATATAAAAGACATTACATATTCTGCAGCATGTCACCTCTCTTTTATCCACATCTCTCCAAATCTCTGGACGGGAAAAGGAGGTAACCTCTTGTCTGCAATTCAGAAGTTTTTGAGGCAGTTTTCAAGCTAAAGAGATTTATTGATGGCAGGTATTAGGGTAGATTTGGAAAAGGATCACACACTGTATATGGTTTTATCTGCCCCATCAGAAGAGCAGCGACTGAACGTCCAAGTCTGATTTCACTGGTGGCATTAATCACTTTGGGGAAGGGATACATTTTGTTCTCACTGTGGTTGAACACAGTTAAGGAGAGGCAGAGATTTCACAATGATACTAGAATGCTTTACCCATAACGTCTGTCAGTTTTTGACTTTTCAGAAATTCAACAATCAGCTTGACAACTAGCTATTTCTTTTAAAAAAGGGCAACTTACTGTAACAGCCAGTAGTTCATAGATGCCACTTCCTGATTGACAGGAAGGACTCTAAATTGCCCCTCTGAGTGCAGTTTAAGTTGCACTTGATGCTTTATTGACAGGCTGTGCATGAAGGGATAATCTTTTGGCATCAGACCCACATGTCAGATTGAAAGACAAAACAAAGCGGGGAGCGGAGGGTGTGAGTAAAAGCCGTGCTTTGAAGGCGACCAGACAGAAGAGTAATAGATACGGCAAAGAAGCACAAAAGAAGACGACGCTGTAATTGCTTGTGACGCACAGAGCTATCTCTCCTGGAGATGATGCAAATTGAAAAGCCAATATTTCCACATAATAACCCTCGGGTCTTTTCTAACAACACCCAGTGGACAGCCTCGCAGCACTCTGGGGCCATCATCTTCCATCTTGTATCTTAGCAACAGCCTCGTATCGACACCATCCTTTAAGTGCGCCGAAGACATGCAGACATTTCATTCCACCCCCTAAAGTCGCAAGACGCCTATCGCAGGTGCGCTCCTGAAAGCTTCATCCCACTGTGCCATTCAAAACTGCCCGTTCTCCCGCTGTGGGAAATCTACCAATCAATCTCCTCTTCATTCTGTCCTCCAGTCACACAGGCCGGCTTCAGTAATCCTCGTCATGCTTTTGTGGCCTGCAATCAGGGAGTGATCTTTGGCTATGCTGGCAAGAGTTCAATAAGCTCACACATACACACACACGTCCTCGTCCTCACCTTGACAATGCACCTCACACACATCCAGCTCAAGGTAAGCCTGCTGGTTTGATAAGACTGTAAAACGCTACGAAGATTTCAGAGCTGAAGACGGGGAACAATCCCTTGGGAACAGCTGACCTCCAGCGCATTAGCGGGCAGCTGCAAATCACGCACACAGGCAGACAGTAAACCAATCGCATGCACACACGCAAACAAAAAGCCCCAGGATGTTTCATAGACAGCAAACTGAAACACCGAAATGTGTCAGAAAACACGCCGCTGCCGACGGCACTCGCCTCACTTCAGCTGTTAAATACGTAGATTCGTTTTTCACAGCATGTGCGCTGCATATGTCTGCCTTCCTGTAATGTAATTTATCTAGTTCATCATTTGCTTTATCCTATAAAAGGAGCGTTCTCTAACACTTTAAATTGCAGATCCTCATTTCCATAATCACACTGTAATTAGGAGGCAACAAAATGCATTCGGGGTTTTGTGCTGAAAATGCCAACGTTGCGAAAAGTGAATGACATGCAAAGGTTTGCTTTGCTCCTGCTGTAACAAAATGCATGAAGCATTAGTAATCATGCTAATGAAGCAGATGCCACATTTATGTTGCCAGAAACTGATTGATGTGTTAAAATAAATCCCACTGTGGCTGCTGGACAGGAGGATGTGATTTACAGGCGGCTGATCATCAGCTCAAATAAAGATAGGTTGATAAGTATATTTTAATACACCAGTAGTTTTATAGCACAATGAAAACTGAGACCTCTCTGAGAAACCGAGGGACACTTTGGTTAATGACTTGTGATTGACCAGTCATTAACACAAACCCTAACCAAGCATCGGCCTCCTTTATTACTCAAACATTGATCAAAATTTACAAAATGAACTTCATATTTCATTACTGAATCTCAGTCTTTGTCCTGTCTTCCTCCCCTCGCTTTACCTTTCAAACCTGTAAGGTATGTTCATCTTTTATACTCTGGAAGATCTAAAAATGAGTCAAAATGAATCGCTCCAAAGAGATATCTGTGCATAGATGTTCATTATCTTTGGATAAAGGACAAGATTATTAGCATTATGCTTTCAATTTCTAGTCTAACGGCTATTAATAGTGTTTAGTGTAAAAAAAAAAAGGCTATTGTTTGGGAAGATTTTAGCTTTTTAAATCCATTAAACTTGTGGACACAACAGGAAGTGTCCCCCCAGATAACTGCTGGCCACCCAGAAAGCCTTGAAAGAAAGCTTCAAGAGGCCAAGCCAGCAGACTAGATGATGGGTTCCCAGACTGATCCCCTCAGAATCCCAGAAATCCCTAAATCTTGAAATGTTAACAGTTCTGACTGAATGATTGACTGACTACTGGGGAGATTTTTCCCATGTTTCCCAAAGCAGAACTTGTATTAATATTGTTATTATTTGTTTCCTAGATGTGTTTAGCTTGAAATACACTGCATTCATTTGCTCTCCTGTGGAAGCAATGCCATATTTAATCTGGCTGTAATGGTAGTTTGGCTCTCTGGTCTATTTGAACAGCACTAGCTTGCGTGTGCATATGGTGAGTCGGTGGGAACGGTTTTCATTTGAAGTTAGGGAAATAATACCTCAGCTTCAGTAATTAAAAGACTGCATCCACGAGTCAGTCCTCAGACGAACTGGAGTACGAGTGTCATCTCAGGGAAGTGTTTCTGCAGTTTTGCAGTCTGCTGGCATGCAGCCCACTCAGAACGGGAGATGTGAAAGACTGGCGCTCGTCCAGGCTCAGTGTTGGGGAAAAGTCACATGACTCACTCTCGACGAGTGAATGAAACTAACTTAAGCCTGAACACATTGTGTAATGCAAACTAGCAGAGAGATATAAAATCAGTGTTTCATGGGAGATTGATGTGGGCGTGAGGGTATATGAATAAGAGTTTTCAAAGGGAATTATGAAACATTATTTATGACGGGACTGCACAGAGTGTGAGTCTGCAATGAAGAAAAGGGATCATCTTCTGCCCTTACTTTGCATTTTGGTAAAACACTTAAACAGAGAACTGATTATTAAAGTAGGATACTGTATTTCTAAAGACGTTTAAAGGCAAATTTCCAAACTCCATATTTCTTTTGGTTTAGGGCTTTGTTCAACCTCCTGGTCTACTGGTGTTTTGCAATTTTAAATAGCAGAAATATTCTCTACCGATGAATGTTTATCATATTTCTAACCCTAAAGGGAAGCAGAAAATCCAGCATTAAAAATCTCCTCATCTAAATGAACAATAAATAATAAAAGTACTGGCAGCCACATGGTAGAAACACTTATGCTATCCGCTATCAACTTCAAAATTTTACAACACCTCGCCAGACCCAAAGTGATCCAAGATTTTTAGTAGGTATACCGATGATATGAATATGAAACTCTGATGCCTCCTCGTTCTTGAGTTATCGCCTTCACAAACTTGGGTGTCCACGCTGCCCACCCGGCCTCTCACCTGGCGGCTTAAAAACAGCTGAGGAGTAAAAAACTTGGCAAAGTTTATTCTTTTAGTTCTGTAGACACACGCTGTCCTCACGGCCAGAGAGAAGGAGAAAAATGGGAGAAGCTGTTCATGAATGCACCTGTAGCGTTTAACCCTCTTTCTCTGTGTTTTGAACACCAAGGCTTATTTGTCTCTTTCCTCCAGGCGTTTGTGTGCACGCAGACTCACACTTACCCGCAGGTCTCCGTTTGCCAGGTGTGGGTTGTGATGTCCAGGGTAGGTGCTGTAGATGGGCTCTTTGCAGTAAATCTTAATTACGCAGCGGTCCTGAACGTCCCGTGGGTCCTCCAGCTCATAGAAGACATTACGGGTCTCATCTTTAATCAACAGAGCCGTGCTGGGAGACCTGAATATCAATAGTTGTCAACGCACACACAAAAAAAGACGCAAACACTGATAAACAGTCCATGCAAAGACAATTTCAGCATCTGTTACCCACTAATATGATACAGTGATGTACGTTCACTTGGAGAGTGGGAGGAGGATTTCTAACTGCATGAGGTGCTCGTAATGAGAGAATCAGCTGGAAGCGGACTGATATTAGGTTAATCAGAAATCTAATGTTCAGTGTTTAAAGGTAAAAAAGTGCTGTGGATAACTAACATGGGAGATTCTAGAGAGAAACGAAAATTTAGAACTTAATGAAAATGATTATTGATGTTTTTGACCCAGTTCTTTGTCCTGAACGCACACGTGTTCAAAAACATATTGCAGCTAAGATTAAATGAATGGGCAGCTTATTGGTGTTGGTCAGCAGTGCAACTTTCAAACCAAAGACACCACATGAGATTTTTATTTATATGTATTTGCTGCAACCAAGACCAAGACAAGAGTTGATAAAAAAAATAGGCTGAATTTATCAAACTTAGTGGCTTAACATGAAAAATAGAAGAATCCTTTAGATTTTGGTGCAGAATCGCATCGTTTTATTTAAGTAATTCTGCAAAATGTGTGGATGGACACAAGATTAACACAAGGACCGTTGACTTTTTACAGTCTGCTCACTTTCCACCATCACATCAAAACCCATTAGAGATGGCTTATGGTAGCCAAACCGTTTCCTTTCTGGTTAAAGAACATAGCGATAAAAGAGCAGCACGACAAGCTAATGATGGTCACGGTTTTCAAATATTCAAACAGTTATTAAATCATATATAAAAACTAAATATTCTCTGTGATCATTTCTGGTCTTAAAATACATATTTTCACATTTTTTTAGTAGAACTTCACCATCAAAAGTTATTAAAATGAAAATAGATCAAAAATAAGGTTGATTTAAATCTAGCTGATAAAGCTACATATCTCATTTTTACCAAAAATATGATTATATATGATGAGTTCAATTCTGGGGTTGTTCTCTGGTTACATGGAGAGAAATTAGTAGTCAGCATTAGCAAGCTAAGCTAACCAAAAACATTAAATTGAGGGTTGTTTTAGACATTTTTGGAAATGAAATGTGGCATTTAAAGGATATTTAAAGAAAAATATAAGTCATCGTCATTTTCAGTGCCCTCTCCCGCTTTTATTCCCCATCTGTTTAAAGAAATGAATTTTCATGTGTGGCTGGTTGAGGATGGAGCTGAAATGAATCACCGACAGCCTCTGACCTTGAGATTGATTTATAAAACAGGCCATAAATGAAGTGTAAATATCACACTGCAGGAAGATTGTAAAAGATCTAAACAGATCGATAAACATGCAGACGTGTTAATATCCTGCGTTCGTGGCTGTCGACCTACCTGAGCATGGCCATGGTGAGCCTTTGGGGGAACATGTGCACGATGAGGGCCCTCAGAGTGTCCAGGCTGGTCAGCTCGTGGGTCAGGTGAACCCTGCGAGTCTCCTCCCCAAGCTGGAGGAACAAGATCCCTGCATTTATGGATGGGGAGGAGCAATGGGGGAGATTCACAGTGGTAGATGGGGGTGGGGTGAAGTTTGGAGTCGGTGATGAAGGCAGAGAGCGTACGAACAATTTTCACCTTAAAGTTTTCAACAGTGTAGAAGCAGCTAATAATCATCCATTTTATCTGAAAGCACACTGCTTGGCATAATCCCTCCGTTTGCGCTGCTCTTACCGTCTATACAGCAGGCACTTCCCTTGTTACCACCTCCGATCTAAAGCTCTCCATCTCAACGAAACCCATATGTGGGAGCAGGGTGAGAGTACAACATGTTTTACTTTGTTCAGCTTAATTTACTGTTAAAAAAAGGCAATTAACTAAATTAGTTGGAATAAATACTGAAGACTGAGGTCAAAATCGATATGTTACACAAAATGATTTAATGAATTTTAGTGTTAAGTTCCTGTTTAATTATACGTGGCCTGTATGCTGTGCTGCAGATTGATCTAAATGTCAGTGGTCAGATTGTAAATGTTCCTCCTGCTCACCATTAGTCAGGGTTTCTGCAGTGTTTACCAAATTAAATTCAAGACTTTGTGAGACCTTTTAATGCAACACAAAGGCATTTCATACTTGTTTTACAATAAAACCCGTAGGGTCAACGATAATTTATTAAGTGCATAAATGTATAGACACAGGCGATTTTTTTCGGTGGTAATAACTGACCCAGGATAAGTTAATCTGATGCAGATCTAATGTTGCCAGCAGCAGCATCACGATGCACTGTCACAGAAACCCAACGTTTAGTTTTGTGCAGCACAAAGTCTCCCGACAGCCTAAAAAGCAGCCGAGTCTGATGGCAAATGGAGAAATGCTGACAAAATGCGATACATTCGTTTTTCACCCCAAGTCAGCACGACACTGAAACTAATGTTTGTCAAATTAAAGTATGTTTCATGAAAGGAATCACTTTTTTCTTTTTAGACGCCACCGAGTTTTGAAGCACATTGTGCTCCAAAGTTATCTATGACCTGCACTGGGTTTTTTCAGCCATGCACTGGGTTTGAAGTGTCCAGTTTGGGATTTGCATCACTAGTTGACTAAAATTAAAAAACTGATGCTCTTGCTTCTGGGCAAAAGAAACGCTGTGTCACAGCGGGGTGTGCCGGTGTGTTTTGTTTATAGGACCCAGAAGTGGATGCAGAGAGGAGTTGCAGGAGTTAACAAAAGGCGAGCCTTTATTTGGCTGTAAGCAGTGGTAAAATATATAACTAAGAAAAACCTATGGACACTATTCAAAGGAGCTTGCAAAGAAAAGCGTCTGGACTTCTTTAAGTTGCTTGAAGACGTTTCACCTCTCATCCGAGAAGCTTCTTCACTTCTAAGGTCAAATGGCGGAGAGTCCCAGATGTAAACCCAGTGGGAGTATCCCCCCAAAGATGGACAAAAGGACCCCACCTTATCATGCGATTTCCTGGTGTGGGTGGGGCCAGGTTTCACAATGAGCTCACCCGAAACCCTGCCTGATTGGGACCCACACCCGTTTTCACACCTTGGCTCATGTGATTAGAGGATCATCAGGGGTTCCTTTATCCCTCTGTGGGGGGATACTCCCACTGGGTTTATATCTGGGACTCTCCGCCATTTGACCTTAGAAGTGAAGAAGCTTCTCGGATGAGAGGTGAAACGTCTTCAAGCAACTTAAAGAAGTCCAGACGCTTTTCTTTGCAAGCTCCTTTGACTACGATGACCTGGATGACTGAGAACCTTCACAGACCTATGGACACTATGAGAATGAACACTGTGTAAATGAAGGCTACTGTGAAACACAGTGAGAGCTATGAGGAAAAACCTATGAAGACTGTGCTGACGATAACAGACGACCTGACAATGACATACGGAAAACAGAGGACACGGGAGGTGATCAGGGGAAGTGGGAACACATGGCTGACATGAGCCTAATGACAGGACAGGGGAAGTAAAACTAAATACAATGAACAAAGAACATAAGACTCCTTCAAAATAAAACAGGAAACACGGAGACGTAAATGTGACAATACAAGCTCAGACCTAAAACATATGAGAGACTAGACGAGGACCCACACACAGAAACCAAGGAGACAATGATACATAATGGCTGATTTTAACCTCAACTAAAACCTAAATAAGAATACCACATGAACCATCATCACAAATCTAACATAAGACAAATACCAACTACACTCAGCGCGCTGGGTCAGAGACCCAGCCTGTGACACGCTGGGTGGTTAATTTGTGGGTCTTCCAGTGCAAAAGATGGATTTAAGCATCAAGACGTCATGACTTGGTTTTTAGACTCAACAGTGAGCTATGCTTTCGGGTCTACTGACCAAGTTTGATGTCAATAATCAGCACTTCTTTGGCATAACCAGCCTGCACAGGTGTGTGGTCATTAACTTGAAAGGAAAGGTGCTGATGCCTTTGTGTGTGTGATAACACACATTTCAACAGCTTTTAAAAATACTATTCTATGGCTGAAAAACGGGTTCAAACAGCTCTTTTAAGCACACTGTCCATTAAATTGAGCTCAGACTAGTCTATTTTGTGTTTGCCCTGCAACAGGCTGGCGATATGTCCAGCGTGTACCCCGCCTCTCGCCCTGTTTCAGCTGGGATAAGCTCTGTAGATCAGCTGATGTCAGTGCCAGCTAATATTAGCTGACAGTTCAGATGATGCCCATATGCACATCCAATTGAGTAGCTTAAACATGGACCATAATTCAAGCTGCTTCAGCCTGTGCACATTTGGTGTTGATATGCAAGCATCTTTGCAACCCACCTTCACCCCAGCTCCTGTTCATTTTGCAGTTTCTCACTTAAAGAAGATATCTGTTTACAGTGGTGCTGGGATAAAAACAACATTACATTTCGACATATTTCTAATGGTTTGTTCTTCTTGTTCCTTTACATTCTGAGATTGTGATGTCTGTTATAAAACATGTAACTGAAAGCGGATCAATAAAAAAAGAATGTGATGGCAGAACAGTTGACGAAATGTATTGATGTACCTAATAAGAAGGCTACTATAGCTAAGGCTCACACTGCTGTGCTGTGAAATGCGAAGAGAGCAACACATAATTATCAGCCTCACTTTAAATGGAAGCTGGAATTCCGAGTGGACGCAGTGAAATTCTCACCGACTCCAAGTGCAGAAAGTAAAATTAACACTGACTCAGATGTGTTATAATGTAAAAGGCTCGTTTTTAGAGAACAGTTTAAACCTTTTGAAGGGCGGAGGTGATGGTGAGATATCCCTAAGGATGGAGGCAACTTACACGTTTGGGGTTTTAGCTCACGATTGAGGATACTATAAAAAAAACTGCCGTCTGCGCTACAGCCTGGTAAAGCATGAAGAAGAGCAAACATGAAATGAAATGATAGAACGTTTCACAGAGAGTTGATGCTTATCTTAATATGCTGTTTATGTGGTATAAAACATTTGAAACTCTTGACATTTTTCTGGCTTGTCCTACATTTTCTGTGTCCTGCAAATGCTATAAAGATGCTTTTAAGGAGGAAATGGTTTCGCTTGCTGCCACGGCCATTAATCAAAGACGACAGGTAACTCGGCGAGATCATTTGGAGGCATTAGACAGCTCTGTTTATATTCAGCACTCCTATAGGCAGTGCACTGAAGTCTGACTTTCACTTGACACTCAGAGGGCCTTGCCAGCTTCACTAGATTAACACTCGATGCCTTCAGTCAACTCAAACATTACCTGAAGGAGGACAGTGCCGTACAGGAACAGAGCTAATGTGTCTTGTTTACGGCTGCCTGTCAGAAACATCAAATCAGATTAAGCGAGTGATGGCCGCCCGACGTATCAATCAAAGTGAGGTTGTCAATACACGTCCACAAATGAAGGCTGATAGAAGAAGTGAAAATAAGAGTCAATTAGCTCCGCCTGCTGTGCTGACTGCTGATGAAATGAAACCTCAGTGGACAGATTTGAATCAGTGACTGGAATCAGACAACCTTTACTCTCATATCAAGCTCCAAACATAACCAGGAAGAAAGTGGAGACGAATGGTGAGAATAAAATGTTAAAGGGAATCAGAAAACAGTATCGAATCGCAGCGAAAGCACTAAAATCTGCGTTTCACAGGTCAAACATGTAAAAGGACCTGACGTGTAGTTTGTTTGAGCATCTCGGGAGGGGAAGCTGCTGTGCAAGTAACCAACTGTAGTCAGAAACTTTTCATAAGTCAAGGTAAGCTGTGTCCACAGCTGTGCAGTGGCTCGGTCAGGATGTGCTTATGCTAAGCTCAAACTACAACAGTTTAGAAGGGTTGAATGGGGTTGATGGGTTGAAATTGAGTGAACACATCAAAGCCAGTGCTAACGGTGATTTGGGACTCATTTACAAACATTTTCACACATTTTTGTGACTCCTGGAAATACTTTTAGCAGAGGGATATGCTCGGGTAGAGCGTACACGAGGACACACGATACCCACTTGTTTGTCATAAATTCTGTGGATAATGACTTGTTCTATTCATACAGGTGCTCATTCAGACACCACACAGTACTCCAACCAGCTCCAGCTCTGGTTGGATCAAACATTAAACACCGTTTAATGTTTGATCCAACCGAGTCTGACACTTCTATTCTCACGTTCAGCTCCCCTGGGTAATATTTACGAAGCTTCAGGGGTGCAGTGCATGTCTGAAGGCTCGGGTTATCACTCTCTAATGAGAGGTGGGCAGCCAAACATCCCTCCAGTCCCAGCCCTTCTGTGCGAGTCTGTGAAACCACACTACTTTTTTAAAGATTGAGCTACAGACACTGCTGAATTTTGGCACAGTAGTTCTGACTTGTGCCTTTGAGCACACCACCAAATGTGACTTAACCTTCAGACCCTCATATAGTTCAATAAAGATAGTAGGACAGTCCCTTGACTCCATTGGTCCTGCTTTACACTTGCATTGCCCCGGCTGTAAGATCTCCGGTTCCCAGCATTATTGGGGCTGGAGCCAATGACTCAGAAACAAGGTCAATCATCACATCACACCTGCGTCAGAGTTTCTGGGCGGTGAAAAAAAACATCTTGGGGGAGCATTGATATCGATAAATGTCTTGTGAGTCTGTTGCTCTACATTTTTCTCTGGTTTGAGGATTTCACTGAGCCAATGGGTGCAGCAGTGGGTAAATTTAAGCCAAGAGCTGGTGGCAAAGCTCCCCTTTAATCAAAGGAGTCTCAGTAATGGCCACCAGCAGAGATGTCAGCACAAATAAAGGTTTTTAATCTCAAAAGTTAGTCTAGAAGTAAAAAAAAATAAGCCTCAAATAAAATGAGCTAACATTAAAAAAAAAATCAGTACTTGTAACAGTGTTTTTCTCTCAAGCATCACTTCTTTGTAATCATCAGTCTGCAGTCAGCAATTTAACTCAGAGTTTGGAGAAGCAGTAGGAACCATCCTTGGAGTAACAAGCTTGTTATCTCTGACCAATCAGCCAAAGAAGTCTGAAAGTGTGACTGCATCAAAAAAAGTAAATGTTATTACTGGGAGATGAATCCTGTCCCGACTTCTCATTTGTGGTTCAAAGAAATGAGAAACAGATTTCACCCGCACAGAGTTTAAAATGACAACTGAGGTGTTTTTTTCCCACTGAAATAACTTACTATTAAAACAACATTACAGAGACTTTATGAATAAACAGAAAAAAAGGACAACCACACCCTAAAATGTCAAGATTTTAAACTTTAGTCTGAATAAAAATTTTGCTGAATGAAACTAAAAGCTGTCTGCATAATTGAAGGCTCCAATCTCCTGAAACATCTTTGGATTTTATTGTAGAAAGTTTGTAGTCATCATCGCCGTGAGCAGATTGTACGTGCACATGTCTAACCCCTACATGATCTCATTTATTGCACAGAATCAGAAAGGTTCAAGTCGTTTTCGTCATTTCTGCTGAGTGGATATCACAGATGGGCCTCGACACAATCTAAATATGAGAGATATGAAATTTTTCAATTTTACTCAAAGACAGCGGACTGACCTGGCGCCCGCAGCTTGGCCTGGCTGGACGAGCGGGCCAGCGGCAGGCTCTGGCGGAGCCGGTTCATCCTGTTGAAGCCGATGGGAATATCAGGGTCTGACATGCTCTCCAGATTTTCGGCTGACGCGAAGGATACCCTGCTGGCCTGGTCGGCGAGAGCTGGCTGTGTCGGGCTGAGTCGTGTCACACGTGGCGTGCGAGTCTGCGAGACAGAAGTCGAGAAGTCAGGAGAGAAAAATAAAAGCACGGATGATGCAGAGCGATCAATGAGCTGACACCAAAAACACATGCAGAACAGAAAGCAAACAAAATTGGCCTCGGGAAATCAATGCAAAGAAACAAAAGAGACTGTAAAAACCTGCTTTTAGCACAAATACACACGTTTAACCTCAGACAAAGAAGCTTTACGTCTTCATCTACGCACAGAGACTCAAAACAAAGTGAGCCGAAGCCTAAAATTAGAGCAGCTCAGACAGCCAGGTTAAACAAACCCACGAGTCAAACTCAGGGCCGCCTGCGTTAATGGGACACAAAAAACTATTCAAACAATGTTTCCACTAAATGTTCTGATATGTAGGAGGCAGTAGCTGGTGCTGACTGAAATCTTTCTGAAGATGAAATAAGTGGATGATATTCTGCTGGTGGCTCAGAGCACGTGACCGAGAGCCTGGTGCTTTCAAATGCTCCTAAAAAAACTGAGCCAACTGGGGCATTGTGATGCTAATGACCCCAGCAAATCCAAACTCTGGCCTGGACAGCCCCTCTATCTGTAATGCAGATTGCTGCTAATATTTCACCTGTTCAATCTGAAACCACTGGGAAGCCCAAATTGAGAAGGACCTCTCATTACAGCCCTACCAGGAGCTCCTGCAGCAGGTTGGCTTTTAATGAATCCTTACTGACAGACATTTTCCAGCCCAAAGACTACAGTAATGAGCTCCCACAGTGCCACGTGAAGCCAGCCCCAATTGTCTTATGCATCCGTGCTCTTTGCTTAGTCCTCACTAACACTCTGTGGGTGCTGTTTGATTTCTGGAGGCTACAGCGGGCCACGCATGTGTGCGCAAACATGTAGGAAACGCCAACAATCACGTCAAAAGACATCAAATCTGAGGATAAAATGCACACTTACAGTCTGCTCCACTAAATTATCTGTTGGGGGTTTGCTCTTTCTTCATTAATATCATTTCAAGAGTCCTTTAAATTAAAAAAAAATGGCGAAACACATGCACCCACATGTCTTTTAACACCGAGAACAGGCTGACAGACTATGTGTGCCTCCTCTCATATGTTTGGAGATTTATGGCCTCGGAGTGCGCTCGACAGCCAGACACTGCACACCTTCTGCCTTCCAGCGCACAAGAATCAAGCTGGCGGGGAGAAAAGAGTCGGGAATTACAAAGTTTGTGTTCAGCGAATCGTGAAGGGAAGAAGGGAAAAAGAGCAGATAAGGGTTAGAAACAGAGCGTATATTCACCAGAGAAAGAGGAGAGTAAACAGAGTAAAAAAGATTTTCTCTTTTAATTTCGGTTAACAGACAGACGTGAAGCTTGGCTGTACGTTTAACTCCGCCGTTTTATTTTCCACAGTAACAGTCAATAAAGCTTCCCACAGGATCGTTCCCAGAGGACCTCCTCCCTCACACTCCCCTCACAAGACTCATTAAAATGACTTTGGCTGCAGTGATAAGCTGGGCAAAGAAACACATGCACAGTGATATATTTTTCAAATCTCATGGAAAGCGTGATCAATTTTCACATCTGAAGTGTACATAAAATTGATTTGTGTAATGCTAAGGCCTCGAGAGAGCCAGAGAACCTCTGAAAGGTCGGATAACGCTAAATCAGATATATACATTTAAAAAAAATCAGATGTTTCAAAGAAAAGTGCTCTTAGCAATTCTGAAATTATGACAAGTGCTCTTTTTATTGCCTGTTCTTTCAAGTGATTCGTTTTTACACTGAAGTGATTAAAAGCAACTCTTTTCATCTCGTGCTTTACTGAAATCATTTCTGATGACGAGGCGTAGCATCAAAGGCTAAATGATGTGTGGGTTCTGAAGGAGAAAGGTTCAGCCCGCATACTGACAAACACTTTAGAGGCAGAAACACCATCTCCATTCCAATAACACCGCCCATAATCCAGGGAGACGTTCTGGATGGACGCTTGTGTCTGTGATCTCTTTCTTTCAGTCACTAGCGAGAGCTCATAACCATAACTGAGAGTGAGGAACAAAAATCGACAGCTTCACCTCCACACTCAGCCCGCTCTTCACCACAGCAGACCAGTGTAGCATCAGCACATCAGTGCAGATGCCGAACCAACACATAGTTAGTCTCTCCTTCCTTCTTCCCCCAATTCATGAACAAGGCCCCGTGATACTCGGGGTACCAACTCATCCCCAACAGAATAATAAAATGCAATAATTCGACTCACTAAATCTGACTCACAAACCTCTTGGATGGTCTGTTTCACACAGCAGCCCACAGGAATGGTGAAATAATTTCATTAAAATGCTCCAGAAAGCACCATCAGTGCAAACACAGTAGAGTGTTTCAGTTCAGTGACTTGATCTTATACACAAACCACATAACCTTTAGTTCTTCTTCTGCCTGACTCAGTGACAAGCTGCTGCTATACTCTACTACTCCAACAGAGATGATTTTTTTTAGCCATCACTACTTACATTGTTTTTGCATTAACTAAGTGACCAGTTTATGGATTGTTAGGGAAAATATTCTAAAACACTTCTTCAGTAAAGACTCAGAGAAGAGAAACACACAGAACTTCTTGCTAGCAAGGGCAGCTCCCTACTGAGAGACTCGCACTAAGAAACTGCCCCGGTCTTTATTTATACTTCAGTGGTGTGTGTGTGTGTGTGTGTGTGTGTGTGTGTGTGTGGTGTGTGTGTGTGTGTGTGTGTGTGTGTGTGTGTGTGTGTGTGTTGTGATCAAAGGGTCATATAACATGAAAGCACAAAAGGTACATCCTTGGTCATAAAGAGGGTAGTCTCCCCCACCCTAGATGGCACGGTGAGGAAGTCCAGCAGTTAAAGCACTTAGACTAAAACAGACATAGCTACGTTAAAACAATAAAACAAGGTACGACCTCTCATGCTCCCAGGATGTGGGGGTGAACCAAGCCTGCTAAAAATCACACATCCTGTCACTACACAATTGATTGGTTAAACATTTCCTAATACAAATAACTACAAACAGCATCCTACCATAAGCAAACTTATATCACTAAAAGATTATACTGACTACTAAATACAATTTTCCATTGACATGGATCCTCCCTGCTGAGGTGCAGGACACACCAAATAAACTGTGAATGATTATTATTACACACACTGGGAACGGTGGCAGCAGCGGGGCTCCAGCAGGGGTGGAAGAGCGTTGCTCCTCCTGGCCAGACGGTGAGCACACTGAACCCCAAGTTGTTGCTCTGTGAATGAATTATTAAGTGATGTGTTCATAAAGTGATGTGTTTATACAGTGATGTGTTTCAGACATGTCCAGCTTGGAGGAGACCCCAGGGCATGCTGGAGAAATTACAGCAGAAGTCCTGGAAGGATGGATGGTTTACAACTCGGCGCTAATTAGCAGGCGTTTGTGGCTTGCTCATATACAATTCATGAACACAGCTTGCTAATCAAGCTTGTTAGCATTATCTCTTCAAAATAAGGATAAGCTATTTTTTTTACATAAAAAATGATTCCTAATATGAATAAAATGGGTTACTCGCTCAGTGACACCCGGGACAGGCTCCAGCCCTGCTGAGACACTGGACTGACTGATTGCAGTCAATAAATTTTGTCCTTATCTCTGTTTAGCTTGAATATATTCAGGCTCCTTGCTTAAGGAGGCATTCTCAGAGTCTTATTACTCTGCAATGGACACAAAGGTCTGTGAAGTCGATCCAGCTACACAGAGTGCTTTAAACATCAGTCTTCCCTGAAAGCTGAAGCATCCAGTGCATACGTTTTCTTGCATGAGAGATTCAATGAATTTCATGAGCGCAGAAGGGCGGTGCACATAATCACATGGCTTTCTCTTTCAAATTGAACTGTAATCACTGAAGGAAGACAACGTGGATAATTTCACTTGTTCCACCTTTGTCAGACTATATGAGCCGTTACAGAATAAAACTGTCAACTTTCCATTAACACATTTTTTATGTAGAAAATGCTCCTCGGTGTTGTACTGCAAAGGATAGCCTGGTTTATTCCAGGCACCTGCAGTTTGAGCTCATGTCTTTTTAAATGTACTCATGTAAACCCGGCTTTCAATTGCACCAAACCAACAATTTGATACCAGCACAGATGGAAATGTGTGGGCTTTATCACTATTTAATGACTAAAGAAAAAAACACCAGATTCAGACCATGATGCATTACCTGCGCAGGACTCTACGGTCCTGTGTGAAACACAGTCCGTGGTTCAACAGCTTGTAACACGAGGCAGTAACTTAAAAAACCTGCTTTCTCCCTGACTTTATCAGTAACGAGCCACTTCTTATCTGTCACATGAAATATGATATATTAATTTAAGTGGAAATCAATTTAATATCTTGAAACATTAGTCATCTGCTGTGTCTTTTTTTCCATGACAATAAACAATAAACAAGCAGCTGGCTGCTCACCAGGTCTGTTCCTACTGCCAACACGGGGAGAGGTGAACTCTGTGCGATGTTATGATCACGGCAACAATCCTGAGCCAACACAATCACCCTGATTATTTAAAATGGAAGAATGATGTGGGAAAAATGGTGACTTGGTTGGCTATTGTTGGATATCAATTTTGGCTCAACTATTTCTGTGTCAAGGCACCTCAGACCTCTGTCTGACCTTTTATCCCCACCTGAGCACCATATTTAATCATTCCTGTGCTGTTCTACTGTTTTAAAACTCCCCCAGTGATCCTCCAGAGACCAGCAGGCATCTCTGCAGGGATCTGGGCGAATGTGGTGGGAATGCAGACAGTTCAAGTGTCAAGGTGCCCCTCGAGCTCTGTCACATGACTGGCAGGACTCCAGGATTCCTTAAAACTAACATTTTCTCACTAATTCTCTCATTTAGGTAAATGGTAAATGGCCTGCATTTGTATAGCGCTTTTCTAGTCCATAGGACCCCAAAGCACTTTACACTACATTCAGTCATCCACCCATTCACACACACATTCACACACTGGCGATGGCAAGC